CCCCCCGACCTGGAGTGGGATGGACTGCATGGCCAGGGGCCTAGCCTCCGGTCAGGGGCTGCTGTCTGGCCTGGCTGAGGAGGCGGTGTGGGGTAGGGGCTTGTTCCCCACCTCTCTGCACCCTGGAACAGGCAGGGGCCAGCTCCAGGGCTCTTGACAGGAAGCTGAGCCTGAGACTACATGAAGATTCATCACCCAGTGGGGGACACTTCTGCCCCCAAGGTCTCAGGGGAGAGGGCTCTGGCCTGGAAGCCCCCAATAGAGTGTCTTGGGGTGGCTGGAGAGTGGAGAGACTGGCTCTGTCAGCCCTGGGCTCTGATGACAGGGAGTTGGGAGGGTGACCTGCCTGCCTGAAAGGACATGGGTAAGGGAGTGTGTGCAGAGGAACAGGTGTGGACCGGATGGGCATTCCCACACCCAAGGGGTGATGGGCAGACTGAGGCAGCGAGTCCCCTCCAGGGGTCAGCTCTGACCAGGCTCGGGGGATGCAGGCCAAGCTGCCAAGCTCTCCTACCTCCCACCCCGCAGTTCCTTACCTGAGGGAAAGATGAGACCTTGGCACCTGTCCTGTGTAGGACAAAGGGCCACAGCTGCTGTTTAACCCAGGAAAACACCTGCCACTGGGGAATGACCGCCTGGGGACAGGCTACTGCTGGAGGGCACTGCTTCTGGGACTACCAGACAAAGGCGCCCTGCAGAGAGGGGCAGCTCATGGGGTCAGTGTGCCGGGGGCAGGGGTCAACCTCCAGGGTCTCCTGGTGGGGACACCGAGCCCAAGCTGCCACCTTGATCTGTGTGGCTCAGATATGTCACCACCCTCCCTGACTGTCAGGCGAGCTTGGTCTTGGGCGTGAGTGGGGTGGGGTGTGGAGTTGGGGCTGCCCCTCTGACTCTGCTGGCCCCAGCCCTGGAGCGTGCGTGCCCTGCGCTCAGCAGCTTCGCCTGGGCTGTTTTTCTGCAGCCCAATTACCGCAGAGACACTTGCTACCACGGAACCCATTAAGTGTAATTATGAAGCCTTCCCGGGGCCGTGTAATTACATGTGGTTTTGAGGAGCTGCCCGTGTGTGCCGTGGGCCGGGCTGAGGCATGCATCCTGTCTACCTGCCAGGCGGCGGCCTTGGCCCCAGGGGAGTGCTGGGGGGGGGTCCTACATGTTGGGGGGTGCTGGTCCTCCCCCTCCTCTCAGCTAAGGCAGGGGGCAGGGGAGCCCCGTGGCTGAGCATACACTCCTCCAGAAGCACCCACCCCCGCCGCCCTCAGCCCCTGGAGCACCCAGACCCCAGGCAGGGCCTGCTACAGCATTGGCCTGCGGCAATTATTTCACCTTCCCCAGCCTCAGGGTTTCCGTCAGAGATATGGGGTGGCACTGCCCGGGGATCTGAGCTGAGTGGGTGGCAGGGTGCCGGCTGCCCAGGTTCCGGGAAGGATACCACTTCCGTTCCTTCCTCCCTCCTCCATCCTGAGTGTCGCCCAGGAGGGGCACAAGGTCAGGCCATTGAGGGTGCAGGGAGCATGGGGTCCAGAGGCCTATGTGTGGGAGAATGAGGGGCTCTCCCAGTGAACAGATTGCCCAGTAAGTCCTTTTTACAGGCCCCCCCCCCCCACACACACACAAAAGGAGGTACTGAGCTGAAGCTGTGGCCTCTCTCCCTCGTCTGCCTTATGCCTGACTGACCTGCAGGCTCCTCTTGGCCCAGTGGGCACCATCACCGCTGTTGGTCTTGACTCAGGGGAGGGGTGAGGCTTCCCTCCAGGAAGTGGAGAGGCCTCCCCCCAGGGATGGTGTGTGTGTGTGTGCATTTGCGGTGGGGGACTGGGTCCTAGCTGAGGGTACAGACAGGCAGAGTATCATTCTCAGCGGTGAGGGCCCCCTCCCGGGCTCCCAGTGAAGCCCCTGGGGCATGAGGTCAGCCAGGTGGGCAATGCTCCTGGGGCTGGGCTGCTGGCGGGAATTGGTGGAGCCACAGCGCCACCTGATGGCCATGTCCAGAATGTGCATCTTTTCGCCACAGCCGCTGGGGTGCCCCCTCCCCTCCTGCCTGGGGGGTGCCTTGCGGGGCGCTCGGGAGAGGTGGGCGTGCGTCTGTACACAGACACGCGGGAACACGCACGCCTACGTGTCTGCTTCTCTGCTGGGTGTCAGCCCTGATCCCTCAGCCCTCCCCCTCTGTACCCTGCTCTGTGTATGGCTGGCCTGGCCTCCCTCCCCATGCTGGGACCCCTGAGATTTCCAGCTCAGGTCAGGCACTCAGCTGCCAGGACTGTCCTGTCTGGGTCCACCTTGGCCAACACGGGGTGTGGCCGCTAACCTCAGACCTGTAACTGCTGGCTGGAGGGTGGGGTGCTGCTGGCGAGAATGGGGTGCAGAAGGGGAGGGGCGGGCAGGGCGCCTGGTGAAGGGAGCAGCGGGCATCAGCTCCCCCGCAAGGCCCACTGTGTACTCAGTTTACCCCTAGGAGTGCAGGCTTTGGCAGTGGGCGTTCAGGGGCTGTGGTTAGGGATGCAGGCCTCTGACCTTTGGGAAGGGTAAAAAGGTCCCCCTGGGGGTGGGTCCCGGGCCCCTCCCACCGGACTACGCCCTGTGCATCCTTAACTCGCCGCCCGGAGGGCCGTACGTGGTTCGAGCACGTCAGCATGCTGGTCATCCTGCTCAACTGCGTGACTCTGGGCATGTTCCGGCCGTGCGAGGACGTGCAGTGCCACTCAGAGCGCTGCCGTATCCTGGAGGTAGGCGCGGCGCGGGCAGGGGGACGGCCTGGAGGCGGGTGGGGGTCACTGGCTGTGGTTGGCCTGCTGCAGAGGCGTGAGGATAGCTCTGCGCCCCCCCTCCTGCCCCCAGGCCTTCGACGACTTCATCTTTGCCTTCTTCGCTGTGGAGATGGTTATCAAGATGATTGCCCTGGGCCTGTTCGGGCAGAAATGCTACCTGGGCGACACCTGGAACCGGCTGGACTTCTTCATCGTTATGGCGGGGTGCGCCCAGGGAGGGAGGGGCCTTGCGTGCAGGTAGTGGGGTCCCTCTGGGGTGTGAGGGGTCCGGCAGCAGAGCAGACACAGGCTCGCACTGTGGTTGGGGGCGTCAGAGGAGGTCTGCCCAGGCAGCCACGGAGGGGAGCTGAGCCCTGCTGCCCCTCACGCCCCTAGCATGATGGAGTATTCCTTGGATGGACACAACGTGAGCCTGTCGGCCATCCGGACTGTGCGCGTGCTGCGGCCCCTCCGTGCCATCAATCGTGTGCCCAGTGAGTGACGCCGCCGCTGCTGGCTCTGGGGGGGCCGAGTGGTGGGGTTGCTGGTCTCTGCTGAGGGGCTGGAGTCCCTGGCTGGGTACACGGTGTCGGCCTGGCCCTCGGCATATCGAGTGAATGGGGCGTGGGGGCATCCGGGACGTGGTGGGCTGGCCTCCTGACCCTCGCCCCCACCCCCAGGCATGCGCATTTTGGTCACGCTGCTGCTGGACACGCTGCCCATGCTGGGGAACGTCCTGCTGCTGTGTTTCTTCGTCTTCTTCATCTTCGGCATCGTTGGAGTGCAGCTCTGGGCCGGCCTGCTGCGCAACCGCTGCTTTCTGGACAGCGCCTTCGCCAGGTGCCTGGGGGAAGGCCCCGCCCATAGAGAGGTCCCGCCCACCGGAGGTCCCGCCCCCCACCCCCAGTGTGCCCACTGAGGTCCTGCCCATGGGAAAGCCCGCCCACCAGAGATCCCGCCCACTCCAAGAACACCCCCCCCATTCTCTGGACCCGCCCACCTGCAGAACACGCCCATCAAGTAGTCCCACCCTGATAGGCAGGCTCTGGGGCATCGCCCCTCCCAGGTTAGTCCCTAAGGAGTGCAGGGGAGAGATTCTGGTTTGGGGTTCTCCTCTCCTCTTTTTACAGCCGATTCCCTTGCTCCATGTTCTTGCTTGTTTTTTAGTTTGTCACCGTGTTGTTTCTTGAAAAACAGTAAGTCTGATGTTTGCGGTGCGAGCTCACAAGCTCTGCCCAGCCTGTGCGTGGACGTTAGCAGGGAGGTTAGCAGGGACAGTAGTAGCACACCGCTGGCCTTCGTGCCTCTTTGTCCTCAGCTGGTCTTTTTGGTTGCCGTGTCTCTCCCTACCTCCCTGTGTCTCTGTGTCTTTCTGCACACCTGTATTGGGGCTGCCCTCACCAGGAGGGTCGGGAGGCCCAGGCAGGCTAGGGGCTCACTCATTCACACACTTGCTCAGGACAGGTAAGAGGGGTGCCCTGGGCCCTACAAAGTGACCCCAGCAGCATGTGAGGTGCCCTGCGTTTCAGGGGCTGCTCATCCTGGACACCCAGTTGGGCACACGATCAGCCGCAGCAGGTGGGGGCACCTTGGGGAACTCAGCGGGGCCAGTGCAGAGGAGGGAGATCCAGTAGGTCATCTAAAGAGGGGTCAGGCAGGTTTGGAAGAGGTACCCTGCAGATCAGAGAAGGCAGGGGGGCCCCCATCCTGGGAGGTGGGATCTGTTTTGTGAATTGTGCATGTGCCGTGTCACCAAATTGTCTTTGGCTGTGGACTGGTCACCGGCACCCGGTGGGCACCTCACTGCACAGGTGAGGTCAGTACTGGAGACCACCCAAGCCCAGAGGGGCCCCGCGTTGAGCCCCGCCTCTCCCAGTAGGCACCACCCTGCTCCTCTTGGTGGGTTGACTAAAGGGGATGTCAGAGAGGTCACGCCCACACCCGAGTGCCCTGACCTGGGCGCCACCTGCCACCTGCCCGCAGGAATGACAACCTGAGCTTCCTGCGACCTTACTACCAGCCGGAGGAGGGCGAGGAGAACCCCTTCATCTGCTCCTCACGCCGTGACAATGGCATGCAGAAGTGCTCCCATATCCCCAGCCGCCGCGAGCTGCGCCGGGAGTGCACGCTGGGCTGGGAGGCCGCGGGGGCCACCGGCCGCAACGGCTGTGTCAACTGGAACCAGTATTATAACGTGTGTCGCTCGGGGGGCGCCAACCCCCACAACGGCGCCATTAACTTCGACAACATAGGCTATGCCTGGATTGCTATCTTCCAGGTGGGTGGAGGTGACCCCGGGGTGGAGACTGGGCAGACAAAGATGGAGGAGCGCACCCCGGCTGCTCAGGGGTCCATGGCTGTCCCCCTTCCCCAGGTCATCACCCTGGAGGGCTGGGTGGACATCATGTACTACGTCATGGATGCCCACTCCTTCTACAACTTCATCTACTTCATCCTGCTCATCATCGTAAGTGTGTGTGTGTGGGGTGTATGGGGGTGGGAGGGGGTGGTTCTGTCAGCTGAGCCCTGGCCAGATCCCTCTGATGGGGACCATTTGTCACATGTCCTCAGCAAATGTCCCTCCTCTTTCCAGGGTCCCTGTGGGCCCTTCCACCCCTTGTAGGGCAGCTGCTGGCTGAGTGTGTGAGTGTGTGCATGTGTGTGTCTGTCTGGGGTTTGGGGAGGGATGCAGCCATCCCACATGTCCCAAAGGTGTCCAGCTCCTCAGCAGCCACGAGCTCGCCCGCGGGGCTCAGCGGTGCCATCACTGGGAACCCTGCTCACCTGCCACAGGTGGGCTCCTTCTTCATGATCAACCTGTGCCTGGTGGTGATCGCCACGCAGTTCTCGGAAACCAAGCAGCGGGAGAACCAGCTGATGCGCGAGCAGAGGGCCCGCTACATGTCCAACGACAGCACGCTGGCCAGCTTCTCCGAGCCAGGCAGCTGCTACGAGGAGCTGCTCAAGTACGTGGGCCACGTGGTGCGCAAGGCACGGCGGCGCGGCCTCCGCCTCTATACCCAGTGGCAGAGCCGGTGGCGCAAGCGGGCAGACCTCAATGAGGCGCTGCCCGGCCAGGGTTCTGGGCGGCGCCAGGGCCGGGCTGGCCGCCACATGGCCTCCATCCACCATCTGATCTACCACCATCACCACCACCATCACCACCACTACCACTTCAGCCACACCAGCCCCCGCCGGCCGGCCGACCGAGACTGCAGGCTGGTACGTGCCAGCGCCAGTGCCCCGCCGCCCATGCCAGGCCCGGGCCCTCCCGATGCCGTGCACAGTGTGTACCATGCTGACTGCCATGTGGAGGGGCCGCAGGAGCGCACGCAGGCTGCCCACGCCACAGCCACCACCGCTGCCGCCAGCCTCAAGCTGGCTGCCGGGCTGGGCGCTATGAACTATCCCACCATCCTGCCCTCTGGGGCCGGTGGCAAGGGTAGCAGCAGCAGTCCAGGGCTCAAGGGACCACTGGGCACAGGGCTGTACGGCCCTTCGGGCCTGGGTCTCTCCAGCCCCCACGAGAAGATCCAGCACTTGGTTGGCGAGCACGGTAAGTACTCTGCCCTGCCCTGCTCTTTGTGGGGGAGTGAGCCTGCTCCTGGGGTCATCCTGGTTGCCAGGGTAACTCACTTTCCTCCTCTGTGCGAGGGGTATGGTCACACCCCTTGTCCTGTAATACGGGGTGGGGTGGGTGGTGGTCAGTCAGAAAAGGGGCTATGATGGGGTCGGAGAAGAGAACCCCCTTTCTTCCCGAGAACCTCTCTCTGTCCCTAAGCAGCTGGCAGCTGAGGGAAGCCCCATTCGCCCTGTAGATATGAGAACCCCAACTCAGGCAATGAAACCCCACACTTGCCACGCCCCCTTGCGCAAGCCTCCTCCCTCTGCACACCGGGTCCAGCCCGCCCTGGGCCGCTGTGTCCTCATGTGACGCAAAGACCCCATCCCCAGACCAGGACTTGGACGTGCCTTTCCTGGGGGTGGTGTGCGTTCCCGGGGTGCACAGGTCAGCACCCCTGAATGTATGGCTCCCCGCAGGACTGGGCCAGACACCCAACCGCCTGTCAGGCCTGAGCGTGCCCTGCCCGCTGCCCAGCCCCCAGGTGGGCGCGCTAGCCTGTGAGCTCAAGGCCTGCCCCTACTGTACCCGAGCCCTCCGCGACCCCCGCGACCCCCACGACCCCCAGCTCAGCGGCTCTGAGAGCGGTGACTCTGACAGCGACTGCGTCTACGAGTTCACGCAGGACGTGCGCCACGGGGACCGCCGAGACCCCCTGCAGCCCACCGCCCCCACCACAGAGACGCCCGGCCAGGGAGGGCGGCCGCGGCGACAGGCTCATGGGCTGCCGGCTGGTGATCCGGGCGGGCCGCGCCGCCTCTGGGGCACCTTCAGCGGCAAGCTGCGGCACATCGTGGACAGCAAGTACTTCAACCGCGGCATCATGGCGGCCATCCTGGTGAATACCATGAGCATGGGCGTCGAGTATCATGAGCAGGTGAGTCCCCGTGTCCTCCTCCAGGCTGAGGGCAGGGGGGGGCGGGGGGAGGCGACAGTCATTCAGCACACCCCCGCCATGTCGCCTGGGGCAGCAGAGAGGGCCCCGCCGGACGCAGCCCCTCCGCCGATGGCGCCCACCGCCCTGCTCTGCCCCACAGCGGGCAGGACTCTGAGGGCAGTACCTAGGCCTCCTCAGCAGGCAGGAAGTGAGGGGCAGCCCCGCACCTGGCCCGTCCGGGCTCGCTTTCGGGATGTTAGTGGCCACCCAGGTACTCTGACAGTGCCCACCCGCAGCCCGACGAGCTGACCAGCGCCCTGGAGATCAGCAACGTGGTCTTCACCAGCCTCTTTGCCCTGGAGATGTTGCTGAAGCTGCTGGCCTGCGGGCCGCTCGGCTATACCCGCAACCCCTACAACATCTTCGACGGCATCATCGTAGTCATCAGGTGAGCCAGGTGGGCTGGGGGTGGGGAACAGGGTGCTGCGGGCCTCAGCACCTCCCCGCAGGCTCCATCGGGGGCATAGGTAGGCTGGCTGCCTTCTCGGATGGGAGCTTCTAGCATTTCGGCACCGGGCTGCTCTTGTTGGGCTCCTTCCTGAGAGGGAGGACTGACGTGCCAAGTGACATCTGCTCCGGGTGGTGGGGGGTGTTTCTGCAGCACAGCTCGTGCAGAAGAGACCAGGAGGATGGGGGGGGGGCCCAAGTTTTAATGCAGAAGAGGACAGAAACTGGGGACTCCGGCCCTGGTGGGAGGGTCCCTGGGGGTGTCCCGATTATCCCTTGGGCTGCGATCTGCAAGGTGGGCAGCTTGAAGCCGCCAGCCGCTCTGAGGGAGAAAGGCGGGCTCTCCACTCCCTTACACAGCTACAGTCCTGGAAGCTCAGAGCTCCGCTCGCCCCGTGGGGCCATGGCGAGCCGGCCTCCCCTTGGGGCCAGTGAGTTCGGCTTGTTTGCTTTGTCCCTGCTTGGGAGGAGCGTGGAGCAGGAACAGTGAGGCAGATAGTGGGGAGGCCCAGGGCCGGGGCACCGTGGCAGGGGTGTGAGTGTGCCCCCCCCCCCC